AAAGGCATTTTCTTTATGTGCAGCCGCGTACTTATTCAACAAATCCACTGCTTCTTTCTGTCGCTTATCCTTGGTGAGTTGAGAGCAACGTATAAGTAGAGTTTGGAATTCCAAATCAGGATAAGTTTCCACTAACTTCTGGCATAATTGCTGTACTTGGTCACTGGAGTTTGTAAAAAATGCAAGCAAACAATTGTTCAATGCAATTGCTTTCTTCTGACGACTAGTCAACTTCGATTCGCATGCGTCAGACATAGCCGAGCGTATTTTCTTTTTAGAGTCAAACACGTTCTGATCCTTATTGATGACCACCGAATTATTGCTGGCCACAGCAACTAAAACTGGATCTTTGGGCTTAAAGCGCAAACATTCCGCATATATGGCTGCTGCTTCCTTTAATTTCCCCTGCATTTGCAAGCAATAACCCAACTGCACACGTATCGGTTCTAATTCTTCGCGCATTTCCTCCTCAGTCACGCCATCCTCTTCCAAAGTTTCACGACAAAGTTTTTCGCTGGCACGCAATTTTTTCTCAGCCTCGGCATATCGCTGGCGATTCGAAGCTATGCAAGCGGCGTTATAGTACTGCTCATATGTTTCTTCCGGCAGCTCAGGTATTTCCTTATTCTAGAAATAACAAAAATACTTTACATTTCAGTGGACAAGGAAAAATTCGTTCGAACCGTTTTCTATACCTTATCTACTGCCAAGTTAGCGGCAACAGCACTCAAATTTGTGCGCCTTTCATTTTCATAATCATCATTGGTATTTTTGATTATTTCCCTGTAAGCATCAAAGCACTCCTCATACCTTTCCAGCCGATATAGCACTTGTGTGCGCAACTCTTTCAAGCTCACCGGCAATGGATTAATATCAGCATTATCAATAGTTTTCAATGCTTGTTCGGGCTTGTTCAAGCGATACTCGCAGTAGGCCTTTTCCAGCACTAGAGTGGCGGCAAGTTTATTCTTTTCTATGAATTTGTATGCCTCCTCGAACTTTGAAAGTTGTATCAGGCAAACAACTTTGCAATGCAAAGCTGTCTGATCATCCGGCGCAACGCCCAAAACTATGGATAAAGTAAAAAAAAATTAATGGTATCCAGCAGACTGAACTACCGATCTACTAGGCGTTCCCGGGGGAGGACCAAACACAACAACTACTACATACCTCTATTCACCGCCTTGACTGCCTTTTCGTATTCGCCATTTTGACCAAATTTATTTACATCCGCATATGCAGCCTTTATGATAGCTTCCTTTTGGTTCGGATCCTTGGACATTTTCACTAATTTTCCACGATTTTTCTTTTATTTTTGTGGCATTCAGATTCAGACGAAAAACGAAATCAACACGAGTGCAAAAAATTTGTCTAATCCGAAATTGACAATTATTTGACACCTCAGCAAATTGGAAATTTGACAACAAGTGACATCACAGGGGCACTAATGTGCAAAAAATAATGAAATTTAAAAAGAACCAAATGGGCGTGATTGATTAAGGGATATTTTATATAAAAAGAAGAAATACATAATAAATAACTAAAAGTGTTCTTACACGATATGTATTTCCACCTGTAAATGTGACTGTTTGATTAAAGCTGATGCCAAAGAACCGAAATCTATACCTTCTTTTTTGGCAACATTTTACAAATCGTCGCCTGGGTAAAAGATTGTCGTAAACGTCAAACATACGTGCGTAACATACGACAATCTTTTACCCAGGCGACGAAATGAAAAATGATGCTGTCAAATGCCCAGTCAACAAAACTCTATCCGCTTGCGAGAGAAAGAAGCAAACGCAAGCGAGATTTTCAAGCATGTGAAGACGGCCAGTAGCATCAATCAAACAATTGTAGTGCTGTCAGCTTGTGTGGTATTTCCTCGCATGATAGTGGCAGCATTAGTGCAAATCGGACGTCTGGTATCACCAGCGATTATTTTACAAATTCTATTTTCCTTGTCTGATCAGAAGCAAAAGTTCGTAAAAAAGTGATACGCAGTTGGGGTGAACACCTTTTTTGTGAAAATTAAATGTAATGCATTGAAATAATTATTAATTGTAATTTGCAAAACGAAAAATTAAGAAACAATTAGTGGGAAAGTTGAACCAGTAGCAAGAGCTCAGCTGGAAAGTGGGTGGGATTGTGCAAAGGGGCCGACAGCGTTGTGCAGAGAAAAAAATCGCATTTTTCATAAAGTGATTGTCACTAGCGTTGGCGTTAGCGACTACGGACAAATGCAAAACAAACGTGGAAATAAATAATAAAACAAAAGTTTCGCCAGTGCAACAGAATAAGTTATTCCATAGTAAGCTAAGCAAGTTTGTAAGCGGACATGCCGAACCGAAGACAATGTGGTTACATGGGATTGCTGATTTCACTTCTACTGGGAACATTGACCACAGGTAATATTTGCATGCGTGCATTGATTCCTCAGCATCCTGCTGGCCATTCGCCTCACCTCGTTAGCATCTACGCATTCATTCATAAATATGCTATAGAAAGCTAATGAGTTTTTCGTATTCAGCCATTGTTAATGGCCTGTAAATCGATATCCGCCCACTAATTGTTTCATTCCTTTAATAAATGTATGTACATATGTACATAGATATACTTAGGTATTGTAAGTTTATGCATATAATGTAATTTTTACTAATCACTATTCACTTTCCCGATTGCAGTGGCAGCTTATTATGTCGAAGTTAAGAGCACCGGTTCATCCGTCATTGGTGGCACGGTGAATTTCAGTGCTGTGTTATACGAAGATGGGCAAGTGGCGAGCAAAGGGGATTACCAGTTTAATTGGGAAGATAATACACCTGCCGCAAATCTTGTGGTAAGTAAAGAAAGCATATTGGTTTATGCAACGGATTTAGGAATACAGATATCCAGACCCATCTTATAGGAATTGTGTAGAAACGATCATTATGCAATCATTCCCCCGACTTATTAGATTGAGATCAACGCTCCGAAATTTGCCAGCGAAAGTCTTAGCTACAGAAGAATAACACTGAGATTATAAATCCTTGGCGTAATTAGCTTATGTACATACATATGTATGTATGTATCTACTTTGATTATTTCTTTGGCATGACTAATAACGAACTTTATTTGCTTGGTTGATATTTTTATCACTTTTAGACTCTTGCGAATATCGCAGAATAAATAGTTTTGAATGAATGCATATAACTTCATAGAAATGTGACGTATGTGCATACATACATACATATGTATTACATAGGGCGGTCCAAAAATTTATGTGAAAAAGTAGATAAAAGTCGGAATATGCTTTCACCGACGAAAGTTCTGTAGATACCAAAAAAATATACCCATATTTTTTTTATTTGGAAATCAAAAAATATTTAGAGGTCGCTCAAAGTGCTTAAAGCAAGCGAAGACTCGGATGTAGAATCTGGAAACATTAAAAAATGTGAATCTAAAGCTCAATTGAAGGCCTATCTTATAACCTATCAAATAAAGTTCAATAGGGCGGCTCTTGTAATTGCAGCACTTTTGAATGCACTATTCTTAAACTTGGTTTCAATCCGTGCAAAAATGAGCTGTGAGAAATTTGAATAGACTTTCAAAGTCCAAATTTGCTTGCCAACTGCTTTTTTGAATAAAAAAGCAAAGTCTCATAATCTGTGCATGCACATTTTTATTGAATTCATTCCAAACAAAGTTAAAAATATATGTTGGGGACTGCTTATCCACAAGTACCTTGAGAATCTACAATTATATTAAAATATACTAATTTCAAAGAACACTTTTATACTCTGACATGTAAACTTTAAGCAAACAACAAAACCGACTGGGACCACCTGTGAGGTAACACATTTCCTTTAAAAAAACAATTAAAGAAATCGATTATCGAGGTCCATACATAAAGAAAAAAATATTCCAACGAATTTATAACCTTTCTCCTTTCTGTGAAGTCGGTTAAAAAGGAAAAATTTCATATACAAATCACTTTTAAATCTGCTATACATTTTTCTTTCACCTCGTACACACTTCTTATTCACGTTTAATAATAAAAAGAACTAATCTTTATAGTTCTGTACATAATACAAAAATATTAAATATTTGTTTCGTGGTTTTATAGAAATTTTTTCAAATAGTAAAGATCTCGGGGTATCCTTTTTCTTTTCTAATCGAGTAAAAATTTTGTGCCTTCTAATTTGTACAAGCTGAGAAGCAGCACAGAAAAAAATTAAGTCGGAGAAAATAAGTGTTACCGTAATGCATTAATAGGTATGTATATCACATTCAAGACCCGTAGAAAAAACTAGTTATAGTCGTGCTTTGAATGAAAAATAGAGAATTTAGAGGAATTCCTGAAGAATTCATATGTATTGTAAGTACCTATGTTTGTGTGTACCTGCACTTGTAGATTCTACATGCCTATCATTGATGAAACCCTAACTTACAGTTTTTTTTTTTCAAAATGCGGTTTTTTGCATTTTTAAGTAGCTTATACTAAAAATTATACTAAAATAAATTTTATAGTCGCAACTCAAAGCTCGATGATTGTATGGCCCTACGCACAGAGTTTTCGGTGTAGGAGGTTCGTCTTATTGCTTCTCCTGTAAAAAAATTAAAGGTCAGTTGAGGCTTTCTACATTTCACCAACGATAAGTACATACCCGACAACCCTAACGGCCTTGTCCCTGTGGACAAACCCCACAGAAGCTGCACGCTTCCTAGGGTTGCCGTTAGTGGAACTTGACGACAACGACTGAGATACCAACCGTCCTGGGCGGGGTTGTTGTAGCCGCTACAACAACAACAACAACATACTGTACATATGTATGTAGGTGCGCGCAATTTACTTTAGAAAAGGTTTGACTTTATAAATATCAATTTATTTAAAATAAGAATTAATTCGAGACATTTACCTAAATAATTCCCATTTGCTGCAAATAAGAATACAATTTGCAACAAAAAGAAAATCAAAAATTTCTAGTTAAATAAAACAATTTATTAAATTTTAATGGGTTTTATTATTGCGCATTTTATGTGAAATTCTTATTAAATTTCAATGTTGATTCAGCTGGGAAGCCAAAGATAAACTTTTGATATTTTGTCTTTTATTGCATTACAAAGTTCAGCGGCCCGCCAAAGTGTATACGGCTTAAAGCAAATATAAGAATACAAAGATAAATATTGCAAATTTAATGTACTCTATGTATGTATATATACTATACATATGCACATACGTATGTAGAATATATAACTTGAGGTATGGACTCGGGCATACATATAGGTCTATTGTACTCTATGTTCGTCACAACCATTCTTCTAAACCTAGCTCCTTCAGAAAGTTCAGTAGAGGTTTTGGTGGTAAGGATTGTATGTGCTCATACACACATTGAGCCTATACTTCTGAAGCGTCTGCCAGAGACGGTGTTAAGTTTAAATTGATAATAAGATGGTAAAAAATTAACTTGAACTTACCTGGCATTTTGTAATTTAACCCTAGAGTGTTCGCACCATGAGGATTTTGCCGCCCGGGGCAAAAAACTGCAGAAAAATGGCAATTTAAAGACGAGATATTCAACAAAAGCAAGATCAGCTGCTCTACTTCTACTACCTATTCAATATGCTTTGCCCCATTAAGTATATCAAACGTAAAATGAGTTGAAAAAACCCTTTTAAAAGCTAATACTAGGGTAATTTCTTTTAGAAACTTGAACAATAATCATTAACGACTAATTTCGATTCATATCTACTCACAAATACGCAGACTTATAACTTCAGAAACCAACTACATATATATGTGCTCCTCGATTCGAAACTACTAGTTCATAGGCATGTCATTTTTATGAGCTGCTAGGGCGCCAAAATACCGAATACGACACAAATACGAGACATTAAAAGAAATACAGAACTTTTGGCGTCCCGTATGAAATAAATAAATTACCAGGACAATTGACGAAAAAAAAGGACTGTCCCCTATAATACAGGACGGATGGTCACCGTAATTGTATATTATAAATTACATATTAACTCAACATGAAATTAATTTTGAAAGTGTTTACAATGCATTAGCTCAAATTAAAATATATGTACATATGTATGTATGTAGTTTCATGTTAATACAAGATTGTTAACATCTAAAGGTACTTAATTGCAATGAACATACTTAAGATTTAATTCAAATAATTTTTAAATATTAATTTTTGTCTAGCGTGGATGCTGCTTCACTGGTCAGCTTATTATTGTAGCGTCTCCTATACACCCTATTCTTCATCTTTCGGAAACCTTTCCGCATTGATGCTTCGTAATCCGAATAATCGTAATCTTCTCGTTTCACCGCATCTATATAAAAAATATAAGCACATACCAAATTGTGAGACGCAATTCAAATGTATGTGTATAAAACACATGGCATATGAGTGATGCAAAATCAAAAAACTACATATCGCTCACCGTCTTCAAAAGGGGCACAAATCAAAATTACGCGTTCCTCAGAAATTGCAAAAAACAATTTCTTAGCACATGATAATCATATGGGCAAGGGAGACTTTACCTTAGGTTTTTTTTTTTAATCTTTAAATTATAACAAAAATTTGCACTAGCTTTTGCTGAAATGTAAATAAAAGCTCTGTGTACATTTTTAGCGCGTAATTTAAAAAATACCAAATTTTGAGTTGTGCCTCTTTTGAAGACGGTGTGCGATAAACATAAACGGGACATGGCGTATGAGTGATAAAAATAAATAAATAAACACGTTATGACTTACTAATGAAGGTTAACTTACCAAAAGCATATTTTGAAAAGATTTTATATTTTCGCAATGCTAACTTTTTCTGGTTGCCATCCCAGTTTAAGGATAACAAAAATTCTTCCGTAAACAATTTATTAAGCGACTTCGAAATATCATTGGGCCCGATGGTTTCTCTTATATATTCCATCTGTGAAAGACAAATAATTTGTAAAAATTGGGGTGGGGTTTAGTACCGCTCACAACTATTTCGGGCTATTCCGTCCAAATGGGTGGCCCGATCCAAAAAAAAATTTCACACACTTGTAGCCAAGGGTCCACGCAATATTTTAACACTCACTTTTGTAAATTTTGGTTACTAATTTATTTACAAATTGGGTTTGAAATATGCCCTTTTTTGTAAAATTCGGAAATTAGCGTACATTTATCACTCCTATTCTGCTTAAATTAGCCACTTTACCAATATATTTTTGTATTCCCCTTCACTTTACACTTTACTTGATTTGCTATAACTTGCTTTACGACTTTAATATTAACCAATTCATCACAATTCATTAAATAAAAACACCTTCAAAATCACGCGTCTGACTTTGGTTGCATATGCAAATTAAATGGCGGAGTTCAGCTGTCAAACTCCAAAATATGCAAAAGAATGAGACAAAAGAAGATAGGACATAACCCAGTAAGCATTAAAAATATACAAAGGTGTTCTCTGCAAAAGGTGTTCAGCTCCTTTTCTTCGCAAAACAGAAAGGAGAATTCTACTGCCTGAGGGTTATAATCCCTAAGTGCGGCCGAAGGCCGCCTACGCAGAAAGGTGTTCTCTGCAAAAGGTGTTCAGGCCCCCTTCTTTGGCAACACAGAAAGGAGAATTCTACTGCCTGAGGGTTATAATCCCTAAGTGCGGCCGAAGGCCGCTTACGTAGAAAGGAATTCTACGCAAAAATACATTTGTTAAAAAGAACATTTTTTTTTATAAAAACTTTTTTTTTCTATTTTTAATTAACTTTTTATTCTTTATTCAAAATCCCCCCATATCTAATTTGGCATAATTTCTTTTATTAAAAAATCCCACGGTTTCTGTTAGTTGGGTCATATTCCACTTCAAACTGCTCAGTTTGCCTAAGAAAAATCCGTTTTTCCCCCTTTTTCAAACGGTTCCCTAGGTGCCTGTGGGAGGAGTCCAAGGGAGGGGTTCCCCTTTTTAGAAAGCGGCGACTGTCTCCTTTCTATTGGGGGGTGTTTTGGGGGCCCCGCCCCCTCCCGCTTCGCTCCCCACCCAAAAAACGGTGTGAGTGGTACTAAACATTTCCCAAAAATTGTAAGCAACTACATACATATATGTATGTATAAGAAAAAATACGTCAATAATATGTATACTGAAAAACATACAACTTCATTTGTTGGCATAGATTTAACATTTTTCTCCACATCGTCCATTTCTTCTTTTGATTTAAATGGAAAAAAGTTGAAATTTAAAGTCTTCGGGAAAACATGATTGGAAAGTCTTTCCAAATAGACCATATGCTTGGCAAGCATAGACGATACGTTTTTCAGTTCTTTTTGCAAATAGTTGTTTTGCTCTTCTGGATTGAGAAATTGTTATTAAAAGTTGAATAGTAAGGAGTGTTAAGCGTCGTAGTATATACCTATTTTTTTCAGTTTAGCGTTTAAGATGGTTATTGCATCATTGCCTTCTGGATCGAATTTTACATTAGGAGGGAACATTTTAGAACACCTATATAATAGTATATAAATATAATTTGTATTACATAGTCTTCTAAGGCCTTATAAATAAAAAGGAAAGTGAGAGGGTGATTAATTACTTACATACATACTACATATCGTCACCTGAAATGCAAAAAGACGTAACAAACATCGTCACTGAAATGCAAAAAGTCATAACTTATAAAAAATACAAAACTCACTTTTTGATTGATATGATGGATTCCATCGAATTACAACTCCTTACATCGTTTTATGAAAAAAAAAAATATTAGTCACGACTTTTTCCATTTCACTGACGATGTTGTTACGTCTTTTTACATTTCAGGCGAGAATATACATAGACCTCAACGCCTTTTGTTATCGTTTTTCTGTCCTTTTGTCATACAACCCAAAGTCATACAAATACTACACCTATTCGTGCTGTTTGGGTGCATTTGAAACACCCTCTACTACTGGTGTAACACATGGTTCCTGTCACAAATGCACGAACAGAAACAAATGTTTAACATCACTCACTAATGCTGCCAAATGGAAATTTACGTCGTGCGGCTGTGTCATATAAGCCCCAATCTAAAATTGCTTTTCTTTTGATGCTTTTGATGAGAAATGCACCCCATTACTGGCTATAATTGCGTAGTTATTTTCTAAACCACTTATAATTTCTTCATCTTTCCAAATCTTTGTGCACACCGTAGTGCAGATATTTACTCGAAGGTACTGCAACGATTTTCCTATCACACTTACATATTTAATTTAAACAAACTATTAAAAGATTCGGTAGATGTACAATACTCACTGCAAGTAAAATTCCCCCCTCCCCCTCAAGTACCCGCGGCTACTATTACCATTTTCCCGTCTTGTATCGTTATCGTTCTTCAGTTGCTTGGCAATAAGGCGCTTCATTTGGCGTTTCGACAAACCGAATTGTCGATCTAATTTTGTACTTTTTACTTACTTTTTTTTTACTCAACCGAAAATATTTTATGTAACTAGCGAAAATGGTATTCTTTTCTGAGCATTGTAAGAAATTTAAACATTTATTTTTTACTTCGCATTTGTACTGCTTCCTACTTGCTCCTTAGGGGAGCTGCTCACTTTCAATTCCGTTGGGAATGTATGTTCTGCGTATGCGCATGTTTTGAATGTATTGGTATCTGTGAATGCCCTGCCGAAAATCTGACTAGCTCAGGACTAGCGTAGAAGTAGAGCTTTTGCCGAAAGTACTAGTTCTAGATCAATACCCAAGCAATGCTTTCAACTGTCGAGTTTTACACGGCGATGTCATTGGCGGTGGCAATTGTCGCCCAGTGCAGTTGGACAGTTTTTTTGGTATAAGAAAACGGTTTGAAGATTCGTTTTTGTATATTTTTTTAGATTTTTTCTTTTCCGTTACAGATTCCATTTTCAAAATTCAATTTGGAAACTCACAACTCCCTCCACCGCGATTAGAACTCGCGACCAACGATGAGTCGGAGGTCTTCTCGAGTACGAGTAGTGAGCATTTGCACATTTAAGTGTCAACTGTCCCGCTCTGCATCCGTTTTGCACTAGTTCAGAGATAGTTCTGATATATGTAGTTTGTCAGACTGTCTCTAAATTTTACGCAGGTTGCATATACGACACTCACTACATTCCAGTGTTGCCACTTTGTGAGTAATTCCTCAAAACGTGAGGAATTTCGGGTGCGTTTGAGTATTTTTTGAGGAGTTTTATTTTGAGGAATTTTCTCTCGATATATTTGCAGATAACAAATGCAACCATGTTTTACACAGCAGAGTTGTTGAATCGCACCGCAAATTTTTGAATAAAACGCTTTCCGAAGTTTTATAAAGAGCGAAATACACTACACAAGCGGCTTGTCAAACATTCTTGAAACCTACTTTTCCCATTTCGCCATACACCATGCAAACATGACTCGTTCAAGCAAAGAATTTTAGTTTTCTTCCGGAAAAGGGATTGGTTTTCTTCGATTTTTCTCTCTTGAGTCCTCATTCGGTAAAAATTCGGTTTCGAATGAGGCGATTTTATCATACGCAACGTAAGCGGTTTGATCAAAAGTCAACATGGCGGCCATAAAATAAAAAAATTTAGATTTTTGTTCACATTTCCCTCAAAGGGCTTGTCAAACCTTCAAACCCCTCGATACGCAACATAAATAGCTTTAAGCAAAGGGATATTTCGCTTGGTTTGTCAAGCCGTTTGTGTGGTGTGCTACTAAATATTAAAAATGTTATCGATAATTTTTTCCGCAAAAACAAATATACCAATTGAATTAGAGAATGTAATTAATTTTTATACGAAGTACCTGTGAATAGTATGCAGTACACAATACTCATATCTGTAATAAGAAAATTTTGAGTAATTTGTTCGGGTTTTGAGGATTTTTCATTTGTTTTTGAGGAATTTTGTAATTTTTTTTGTGGCAACACTGATACATTCGCTCAACTGTCAAATGACTTTAGTAGTTGTTTAAAAAATTTTAAGAGCGTAGCGGGACACACGGGTGCATTTTGGTTTATATATTTAAAAAAAAATATTCATATATAAAATCTGACTGGCGGTTAGACTCGTAAATAATGAGCACTCATAAAATTGTTTGAAGGATATTTGAGTGTATTTGTTACTTTTGCGCTTTAAAATTTCATAGCGGCACCCTGCAGAAAAAATATAAACTGATAAAAAATAGCCAAGTTATTGTTAGCTTTTTTGCGTGATTTCGACAAATACCTCACCTTTAATTAGCTAATGATAAAACTAACTTGAAACTAGTTGAAAAGTAGTGCAGGAGTCATGCAGACGTTATCGGGAGTTTGTTTTCTTTAAATAAGTTTTTATTTAAATGTCCTCGTACAATAATTACTTTGAATACATTTTTTTTTTGCTGCAGTTCACAGATGCTTTCTCGAAACAAATAAGCAAATATATAATCTTAAATAAAGTAAATTAATAAAAATGTAACAAATTTTGTTTTGTTTATATTTTATGTCCAACTTATGTTCTCCCTTTTTCCCGCAATCGCCCTTCAAAAGTAGTTAGTTACGGCTGAAGGAAGTAACTACAACTAGTAGACTGCTGGGTAATTAAAAGTTAGCTATTAACTAGCCCTGTTTCCTGCAGGTCATTTTCGAAGTTGCGCATGTATTAGTGTGCTGCAGCGCAGAACTGCCACGTTAATACGGGACAACCTTTTGAGAAACTTTACCTCGCCACTACTGCTTACAAACAGAGTTGTTCTGCTGGCAGAAATGTTGTAGTGTGAAACCGAGCTTTTGCTACATATGTATATAGGCATTTCCAAACATAAATTTCTATAAATTTTTTGATAACGTTTAGATAGCATTTCGCTGATATATCTTTGGTGTAAAAGGAATGATCTTTCGATTTTTATTTTTCAATATGTTAGCCACAAACATGCTGTTGCGAACGTACGAATAATGGAAGTCGCTTTTGGCTGCAAATTAAAAAATGCAAGAAATTGCCAAATGGAACAGAATATTCTAACACGATTAATTTTTTATTAAAGTAGAATGAAGCAGGGACCGTAACAGTTAGAACTTTTATTTAAAAAAAAATCGCTCTTTAACAATTATTTTTTTTACTTTTATTTAATTACTCCTTAAATAACCGTTATTTCTGACTTTTACATTATAAATCCAAAATAAGAATTATTTTTGATTTTTATCTAAATAATTGCAAATAACAGTTATTTTTGATTTTTAAATTATATGTCTCAGATAACAGCTATCGAAGACTTTTATTTATAAAAGTCAGCAATAAAAATCAGTCACTGAAATTTATTTTTTAAATCGTACTTATAAAAGTCATTTGTTGTGTCGTAGTAAACTTTTGTTTCCCAACACCTTCTCAACTGCGAAAAATTTTAATGACTTTTATACGAATGATTTAAAAACTAAAAGTCGGTGACTGATTTATATTGATGACATTCAAAAGTAAAAGTTTCTGACTGAATTTTATTGATGACTTTTATAAATAAAAGTCTTCGATAATTGTTATCTAAGACATATAATATAAAAATCAAAAATAATTGTTATTTTTTTAATTTTGCATAAAAATTGCAAATAAAAATGTATTTTGAAATTTGAGTCTCGATGAACAAAGAAATCGATTGGTATGTATCACTTAGTTGTAGAACATCTCCTTCTTAGTGAATTTTTCCATAACAGTTTTCATCAATCACTGTTATGTTCGGTCCCTGAAATAAAGTAACTTCCATCTAACTAATTGTGTGTTGAAATATCTCTATTAGTTTTTTATTTATAAGCTTAAGCGAACGTACGATTTTTCCATCATTTTTTATACCTTCATGAACATGAAGTGGTATTATAAATTTGGTCCGATGTTTGTAAGTACAAGAATGATCAGAACGTCGAGCTAAGTCGATTTGCCAAGTTCAGCTGTCCGTCTGTTTGAGCGCAATTTAGTCCATCAGTTTTCGAGATATCCGACTGAAATTTGATAAGCGCGTGTACTTTTTTAATGTATTAATCATTTGTCGAAACCGTTAAAATCGGACCACTTATATAACTTATAGCTCCTATACAACTGATTGCTCATTTTACTTCTCGGTCCTGGTTGACTATTCTGTGGAAATGCTCATATGCTTATCTCTCCTGCATTGGCCCGTTTTTGTCGATTCACATTTTTTTAACCATGACTCTGACTTTGTGTTTGTCCGTGTTTTTGTTTTTGTCTTCAGCTTTGTGTTTGTTCATATATTTTACTTTATCTCTATCTCTATTTGTATCTTTGTCTTTGTATTTATTTTTATTTTCATCTTTATCTTTACATTTGCCTTTATCTCCATTTTCATTTATTTGCTTTGTCTTTAGACCTATATTAGCCATGGTTTTTGCCTTTGTTTTTGCTTAAGTATTTGTCTGTGACTTTGGCCTTGTTCTTGTTTTTCCCTTTGTCTCGCTTTCAACGCCATCGTTCCCTTTCTGTCGGATTCATTCGCCATATCCCCCTTTCACTGTAGCTTTCAACGATAAACGCAAACGTCTCCGAAGTCTTTTATGAAATTCCACCTCAAAAAATGTACATTTGCCCTTGTTAAGTGTACTTAATTTGGCCCAGCTTCTCCTTCAATTTATGGCGTGCGTCTTGATGTGCGACATTTAGGGCTAGCAAACAAACTGGTTTATAATAAAACAAATAAGTATTTCTATTGTCATCCCATTCATCTGAAACGTACATTAGTTTTATTATTTATTAGTTTTTTTTAGTATGCAATTCCAGTAACTCTTTTATAAGCAAACTTATTTATTCTATTTTATGTTAATTAATGACTGTCAATTCAGCGAAAATGCACCGTGCATATTTAAATTTAATTCTTTGTCGTGAATTGCGTGTCTGCCGGTGTAAATGTTTTTTTTTTCTCCTTTTTATGAACACTGGAATGTGTGCATGCTTGCACCGCATTCTGTCATTCACTTCCATTTAAACTTTTGAATTAAATGTGTTTGTATTGGTTTATAATTTATTTTTGAAAGTTTTGTGTTTAATTTTAATAGTGTAATTTTATTGTAATTTAATTTACACTGGCGATCAAAAGTGAGTGCCTGGTGTATTTTGTTAAATCTTTGCAATGTTTTTCGTAATTTTTTTTTTTTATAAAAATATGGTTGATGCTTTAATCAAAACCACTTAAGTCCAACTTTTCAACTTTATAAAGAACTTAGAAAAATTCAAAAAATTTGTATTTAAATTTTGAAGTTCTTCATCTGAATAGTATTTTGATTTAACAGTATTAATATGTACATACATACGTACATATGTGATTAAAAGACAGTGCATGTGTATGCATGTCTGTATATGTATGTATAGTGCATATATTGAAGTACATATTCTGAATTGAAAATGACGTAAATTATAATAACAAAAAAAAAAAAAGCAGTTAAATATAAAAATAGTTACTTACATTACATACATACAAAAATACATTAGTATGTTACTCATATTGTATATTTAGTACGCTTTCATTCCTTTATGCATTGAGAATATGCATTGTTTCGTGGCGTTACTTTTGATATGGAATATGTCAAGGCAGATTTAACTGATTACAATGCAGGTCAGCTATAAATAGCGTTGAACTTGGGTGTTCCAATGGCACATGTTTAATTTTAATGAGAAAAAATATTAATTTAAACCTTTCAAAGTGACTGGAAGTTACCTTATTTACCCAGCACTGATGCTGTTGTTGAACCTACTTCACAATAATTTTTTATAGGAAAGTAG